CGGAGTTAACGTAGGTATAGATGCCGAAGGTCTAGCCGCGGCTAGTCCGGATCTAGATACTATATTAATAGGGCGGTTTCGGATCGAGATATTAAGCTATCGATCGTACTCGTCCGAGTCTATAGAGGCGTTCTCGATCGAGTCGGTATAGCGGAGGCTATTAGCAACGGGGTCGGAGTGTTCGGTAGCTAATATCGTTCTCGTTCGTTAGTACGTACGTATACGGGTTCGGTACGTTCTCGTTCTTTAGTATATATGTATATATATTCGTCTTTAGTCTTATTTTCTGTCTTAATCTCCTCGACTACATATAGTAGTACTTTAATCCTACCCCTTTCGGTTAGGCCCCGGGGGCCTAACTAAATCCTAACCCCTTTCGGTACCTATATTATAGTTAGTATAACTTAAATCCCGAATCCCCTCTTCCGTTCTGCGATATTAGTCGGCCGCTCGTTCTTACGGCCTATACCTCGCCGTCGGCCTCCCTATAACGTCTATTATCTCTAAGGCTAAAGACCCCTTTCCTCTAACGTCGCGTTAATTACTTTTCCCTACCTTATGTTCGTAACCGTATTATATCGTAGCTTGCCCTATACCTGATTAGGAACTATACCCTTCCTTATACCGAATTAGGAACTACGCCCTACTATATCGTATCGTACCTTAACCTTATACTATATTACCTAGTATAGGAACTACGCCCTAGGAACTGCGCCTAATCAATCTCGAACTTTGTCGTTTAATACTATACCTTCTCGTACTACGTTGTAATAGTCTCCTTTTTAGGATCAAACGCGTTCCCTATCTTCTATCCTATCCTCTATACCTATCCTTTTTTTTTTTGCCCTCCTCCTCTGACCTATAACTATTCCTACTCCTGTATTTTGTATATAATAGCCCTACCTTCGGCTCTATTTATTACCGTAAAGCCCTCTCTCCTACTACTGTCCTCGAGTAGACGATCGGATAGGCCCGGCTTATAGTAGGTCGCGGCGTAGCTCTACGGTAAAAGGGGTAGGATAGGTAGAGGTCCGGAAGGACGCGGAGATACCCGTAGATAGTAGGAACGGTAATATTAGAAGACAAAGCGCACTATAGGGTAACGACATTAATTATAGTAGAGTAGGTATCCGTACGTCTACGTCCTGATTATATCCGTCCTCTCCTCCGTCCTAAAAAGAAGAAAACTACCCTATATAGCTACCCGCCGGGAGTAGTACGGCCCTCCTAGGCCGTCCGGCTCTCGGCTCTGCCCTAACGCCCTACGTAAAAGAAACACGCCTAGCCGCTTAATAATATAATAGCTGCCCTCTTATCGCTATACAAAGAGGTAGTTTAAGAGCCGGATTATAAAGCTATACCTACGCGGATTTCGAGCAATAGCAAGTTCTTCCTATACTTCTAAGACTACGTTAGTACGCTAGATAGTAGCTATATTAAGGCTTATATTATAGGGGAAAGTAAGCTATTCCGGAACCGTAAAGGCGACCTCTCTTAGAATGTATTAGCTATAGTAGACTTTAATATACTCTTTACCTACGTCTTAGCTAGATAGGAGGGCTCTATAGCGGACGTTACTGTCCTAGGCTATACTAGAGATATAGACGGATTCGGGGCAAATCTACCTCTTAGCAACTTAGCAAGTACTACCTTGCAGACGCCGGCTATATATCGTCGGACATAACGTTAATACTATACTCTAGCGGTATTCGCTATTATCTAAGAGAGTAGTTACAACTATTAGTAGCTACGTAGCGTAGTAGTAGTAGGCAGCAGGCAGACCTACGTCCGGTTAATATAAAGGAACTGTTTAACCTACGGTATTCCTCGCTACGCAATGTCGTAGAACGAGTGTTCGGTGTCCTTAAGAACCGATTCTATATCCTCGATAAGCGTCCTCGGTACGATAAAGAAACGTAGGTACGGCTTGTCTACGCTCTAGTAGTATTGTACAACTTTATTCGTCGTACTAACGTAGAGGACACGCTGTTCAAGGACGAGATAGCGCGTATAGAGCAAGACGTACTACTGCTATAGAGAAACGATATGTTCAATTAGAAGCCGAATCGATCGGTCGATCGGTAGGAGAAGGAGATAGATAAATTCTAGGATATAGTAGCTACGGATATATAGGAGGACTATAAGTATAGCCTAGCAACTAGCGGTAGAGCCGTTCGTATAGAAGATAAAATTCCTTGATTGATATCTACCTAGTATATATTATATCGTCGGGCCCCGGGGGCCCGACGGACGAAAAGTACAAGAAGCGAGATATCGGACGGATAGAATAACTCGAGATCGATAGATACTAATACAAAGTAGTATACAGTACTATAGAGACCGTAGTGTAGAGGGTATAAGCTTAATTTATAAGTTTAAGAACTTCTAGAACGGCAGCAGATCGGCGTTCGGCTTCTTTATCGGTGTTTTCGTTATTACTCTCTACTAGTCTAATCTTGTAAGGTCGTACGGCGTCGAGGTTAATACCCTCGATAATGTCGCGGTATATAACTATAGTGTAGTACTTCCTACTAGCGGCCTCTGCCTTAGTAATACGTATAAGCTGCCTCTATCGACGATTACGTAGGAAGTTAATACGAGCAACCTTATAGTTAAAGTTATTATCCGTATTGTTGTTAGATTAAACGGTAGCTATAAAGCGTAGGCGATACTTATAGGTTCCCTCTACAAATAGAGCTACTATCTACGGCTATTCGTTCTACGTACGTATATAGGTATTAGAGTAAAGCTAAGTACTAAAGAAAGCGAATATCAATGTCCTCGCCTCCGTTAGTTAGCGCTTAGATGCTAACCTAGCCTCTGTAGTAATAGCAGTAGCTCTCTCTATCGATTTACCGAGTAACTCGGCGCTAGATACCTTCTTCTCTCTCGGGGTAAGGAGAGGAACTATACCGGCCCGGCGGGTATTAATACCGTTTATACTCGGCGTTGCTAGGCTGTTATCGTTATCGTCCTCTTCTTCTATTGTTTCTTTAGTAACAACTAGAGTCTTATCTAACGTAATAGCCGGCTAAGCAGCCGGCTAAACTGTACGCTTACGCTTCTTGCCCTGCCTACTAGCAATTGTAGCGCTAGCCCCCCTAACGGAGAGGAAACTAGTAGTAGTCTTAGTTACCTATATAGCCTAATACTACTTTGTACCCGGCAATAGCTCAAACCGCAACGGCCTAGTATACTTGTAACAATCCAACTTAAGGTATTTCTCCTATATATAGTCGTCCGCCGTTATAAGCCCTATAAGCTAGTTAATTCTAAAGCCGCTATATTTAAAGAGCAAGCGCTTAGCAGCCTGTATACGTCGTTAGTACTAGTCTTCCTTCGTCTTATACTAACCCTAATATAGCGTTAGGGACTACGCGTCCTCGGAGAATATCTCTTTCGTAGCTTTGAGTACAACAGATACAAGATAATCTCTCTCTAGCTTGCGTAGACTACCGGCTCTATGCTTGTTACGAGCTAGTACCTTTATATAGGCCTCTAACAACTTGAATTCTAAGATACGACCTATATCCTATAGGAAAGGAGGAGACTTCTGCTTCTTCTAACTACCGCTGTCCTAAGGCTCCGCCTATATACTACTAACGTCCTCGTCTTTATCTTTATCGTCCCCGTTACCAAGTGTATAATTAGTAGGGTCTTAAGAGGCAGGCCTACCTAAACTATCGTCCTTATCGTCTAGAAGAGACTAACTCTCGCTAAATTAGCCTAGGCTGTCCTCTAAGGACGGATCGAGGATACCGGCTATTTAGGAACTAAGTAGGTATAGCTAGGACTAAGATAATGCTCGGGTAGGTAGGATAGGACGCTTAGGGGGAGGGGAGACGATATCCTCGGTAGCTATAGCCTTTAGGTAGGTAGTAAGAGCTCGCTATATAGTAGCGTCGCGGTCTACTTTCTCGTTAAACAGTTGGTTCTATAATTTGCTAGTATTGCGCTTTGCTCGGAGGTTCGGAGGCATTTTGATAAAGTATAGGGAGTATTAGTTCGATTAGCGTATAGCGAGTATTAGTTCGATTAGCGTAGAAAGTAGCGGATTCGATAGCGCTTAATACTATGTTTAATTCGGCGTATCGATCGTATTATATATACTAGTGTAGTTACAGAGCAGTCTAGGTAGGTAACACTTAGTTGTTTGAGTCGGTAAAGCCGTACAACTACGGAGCTATCTAAGGCGGCTTAGCGTAGGTTGTTATAGTACAGTACTATATAAAGACAGGCTATTGAACAATATGTACGTTTATAGACACTACAGTTACTGTCGTACTGCAAACACCGTCTAACATACTACGGCTATTAACCGCAGTGACTAATCGCATCCCTCTCGAATCGACCGGGCCATCGCAGCGACTGCGGCAACTGCGGTTAGAGGCTATTGAACAGCCTCTTACTCCTGCACCCGACGTGCATGCTTCTCTCTCTGCGGGAATAACTCCCCTACCAGAAAAAGAAAAAGGGAAACTTGCCTCGGGTATCGTCTCGACTCGTCACCGAATTTTTATTTTGGCAGCTTTGAAGGCTGGCGACGATAGGTCGCTGATGAATGCAGCCTTGATATCGTCGATAGGCTGTAGGTAATAAGTAGAGTTCTGCATTTTGCGGAGAGGGTGGCTTGAGGTTGCAGTACCAAAAAAGAGTCTGGGCTCACGAGCTTGAGTCTGAAAATCAGGTCTGAAGCTCTTAGCGTAGACGACTACCCCAGACCTCCGCAACCACCACATGGGAAACGTGGGGATATAGTGCATTAGGCTCATCTGCCGACTGATATCGTGCCAGAAATAAGGCTTCGATGGCGTATTCTAGCTCGCAGCCCACAACGTGTGGATGGATGTGCGTGCGCGCTGTCTTGTGACCTGTTGAGAGATGAAAAAAAGTGCCATGAGGAGTACCTAGCGGATGGCATTGTAGGACTGTGCAGCATAAAGCTGCTGGGGTCCCAGGTCTGATTACAGGCTTACATCTCTTAGCTTCTCATCACTTTATCATCATCATCATCAAGTGTGCTCTCACTCAATCTCACAAGAAGACGCACGCCCTCTTGCTACCTACCACCTCACGACCGTCGGTAGGGTTTTGCCATGGCCACCATGGCTGACCACGACCAAGAGAAGACGGGAGTCGTCTATCTCGAACGAACGACTTCCGATGAATCCACTGTCGACGACCGTCTCCACTCCCTGACTGCAGAGGAGCAGAAGAAGTTGATTCGGCGTATCGACATCCGGCTAGTTTTGACACTGGGCTGCATGGTAAGCAAAGCAGGCTCGCCATAACCATTGGTGGGCTGTTGTTCATTGACACTCTCTTGCAGTACTGCGTGTCACTTATGGACCGAACGAATTTGGGAATCGCCGTCGTCGCGGGCATGGGCGTTGATCTCAAGTTGATTGGATTCCGCTACTCGACCATCGTGCTGGTGTTCTTCATCACCTATGTGTTCCTTCAACCACCTGCCACCGTCATCCTCAGAAAGCTTGGACCTAGAATCTTCTTGCCGTCGATAACGCTTCTATGGGGAATCACAATGCTTACTTTCGCCTTTGTGAAGACGTGGACTCAGATGATCCCGCTTCGTCTCGTATTGGGCGTGTTCGAGGCCGGTTTCTTCCCAGGGTGGTAAGTACATCCATGTACTCAACAATACATCCCTCCATATCCACGCGTCATACAGAAGGCTGACAGGATGCGTTTTCAAGTGCATACTTGCTGTCCTGCTGGTACCCGCGGTACGATCTCCAGAAGCGATATGCCGTATTCTACCTCATTGGAAGCTTATCCTCTGCCTTTTCCGGCATCATGTCATGTAAGTCCTTCCCTCGTACCGCTCTTTGTACAGTAGTACCACAAAAGAACCTTGCCCCCAGTCATGCCATAGCCTCAGACTAATAACGAGCAGACGGCTTCATGCAAATGAACGGCCTCGGAAATCTCGGCCCAGACTACGGTCAACACTACGGTCCCACCAAAGCCAACCCGACCCTCCGGCCCGGCGTGATGGAAGGCATCGCTGGTTGGAGATGGATTTTCATCATGCAAGGCCTCATCACCTGCGCCGTAGCCATCATCGGCGCCTTCACCATTGCCGATTTCCCAGAAAATGCAGCGCAGAAGAGTAAATCCTTCGCTCTGGGATTTCTGAATCAGAAAGAGGCGAATTTCATCGTGGCGCGCATTGAACAGGATCGGAGTGATGCGATTGCGGAACCGTTTCGCTTGGCGACGTATTTGCGTTGTGGATTGGATAGTAAGATTTGGGGATTTGCGGCCTTGTTTGGGTTGACGACGACGACGACATATGCCATTGCGTATTTTTTGCCAATTATTCTTCACGAGGGAATGGGCTTTGGTGAAGCTCTGGCAGAATGTCTGATTGCTCCACCTTATGTCCTGGCAGCGATCTGGATGGTGAGTAGATTCTTTCTTTTCCCTCATCTTCATCCAAAAGGAATCCGCACTAACAAATCATGTTCTTCACAGTACGGCTGTGCCTGGTACGGAGACAAACACCACCTCCGCGGCCCCATCATCATCCTCAACGCCATCCTCGGCCTCATCGGTCTTCCCCTCCTGGGATTCGCCACCAACCCCGGAGCGCGCTACTTTGGAGTCTTCCTCGCCACTACTTCGTGCAATGCGAATATCCCTTCCATTCTCTCCTTCCAAGCCAACAACATTCGTGGACAGTGGAAACGCGCGTTTGCGAGCGCGACTCTCGTGGGAGCGGGTGGGATTGGAGGGATTGTGGGAAGTACAGTGTTTCGATCGGAGGATAAGCCGGGTTATGGACCGGGGATTTATACGACGATTATTGCTGCGGGACTGACGGTCGTGATTACGGCGGGTATGATGTGGAAGTTTCAGCGTGCGAATCAGCGCGCTGAGGCTGGGGGGAAGGTGATTGAGGGGTTGAGAGGGTTTCGATATACGTTGTAGATGGAGGATTTGTTCTATCCCGTGATGTGATTGGAACATTATTCATCATCGTTCCTTCCCTTGACAACCATGTGCTCATATGAATGCCTTGTCCCAAGTGCTCGGGAAATGTTTTCTGTTACTATGCCATCGAATTACAGATTCTCCTTTTCTGCCCTCACAGGAGTGGCTGTCGGCAGCGATTCTGGACGAGCGGTAGAAAGTTCTGGAGTAGGTATTGTGATGTATTAGCTTGAGACAGAAATATATGTAGATGATGTAACGACTTTTCCCGGAATTCTGTTATTGGTGCCATTTCAGATCTGTTGCATTGTTGACCTTGAGCCACTGCCGTCCATGCAAGCTTTGCTGAGCCCGCGAACCTTTCCGTCGGTCAAGCTGCTTCATGTTCCCACTGAGACTAGAAATCGTATTGCTGCATGAAGGGAATGGCTTGCTCTACTTCAACTGAGCGAGGCCGTCTCCAGATTGGTCGCCTGACTAGCCGAATACCGTCAGCTGGATATTTCCAGCAGACAGAGAGAAGCACTTGGTTCGTCATCCATCTCTCCTCCGCATACTATGGTCCACCTCTTCATCAACCTCTCGAAGCTGTTTGTCCTTTTCTTCCCGGATAGTCACTCCTCAAATCAAGCCAGGAATCATAGCGAACTTCTTTTTCGCATACTTGGCGCCCATCTCCTTCCTGTACCTCGACTCCTTCTTTTTCGCCCACACAGCCATCTGCCCACCAGCCACAGCTGTGAACAGAGCCGTAGTCCAACTCCTTGTCACCACACAGATGCTGACCCAGGCAATCACCTCGAATAGATAGTTCGGACAAGTCACCCATGCGAATCCAAACCCTTGTGGGACACCTCTCTCCGTGCCGCCGGGAGATCGCAGATTTCGGAGGATCAGGTGAGTGTTGAGATTGGCGAGCTCAGCGAAGGTGTAAGCTGCCACGGCAGTGTAGTCGATGAGGGGAATCAAGGAGGAGGTGGAGGTCGGGTGGGTCGGGGAGTAGATGAAGTAGGCGATTTCGAAGCCGGAGAGGAGCCAGTAGTGAGCGCTGTTTTTGAAGATGTTGGAAGCGGGCATGGTAGCGCTGCTGAAGCGGTGGACGAAGAAGGTCTCCAGCTCTCTTTTGAGGAAGTGGAGGGCAATCATGACCACGGAGAGGGTCTGCAGTTGAGATGGCTGCGGCGGGGCATTTTTGTAGATGTAGGGACGGGCGAGGTAGCAGAAGGGGTGGATGAGGAGGGGCCCCAGGTATTCGATGATGAAGACAGTTCGCCAGGCAATCTGGAGGCCCAGGTCTTTGACGAGGATGGTGCTGCCATTGCGAAGCTGGAAGGACTCGACGCTCTTGGTCTTGTCGTTGGGAATGAAGGTGCCGTCGTCTTCCCGCGTGATGCGCAGGCGGTGCACGGAGAAGTTGGACTCGGCGGCGATGCGGTGGTAGAGGTCGGCGGTGCTGCCTTGCACGTAGATGGAAGTGCTGGCGGGTAGCGAGGGAATGCGTTTGCCTGTCAGATCACTGCATGTGAGTAATGGATGCTACGTGGACATGGATGGTACACCACCATCTCTTCGCCGGTGTGTCTATTGATCATGCCGTTCGGTGTACGCACCTCGGGGCTTGACCTGCAGAGTCACCGGTCGGGAGGCCATCTTGCTGGCGGCACAGCCTGGAATGCAGAGTGATGCGTGGTACGAAGTGAATTGGGAAGAAGAAGAGATTGGTACCTCCTACCTCCTCACAAGTAAGGTGTTGATGAATTACCTTATTGACACATGCAACGTGCCAACGGCCGCCCTCCGCCTCGGGCCGCCGTATAGCTAGCTGTTCTACCTCCTAGTGAGTTCGAGTCGGGTTCGTGAAGTGGACGATGTGCCTGTCAGGCACAGCATGAGTTGTACAACAGATACGAATATTGTTCCCCTTCAACATTCCCGCCTCATGTCTCTGTCTCGGCTTCTGCTTCTGCCTCTGCTCCGCTCCACCCCGCTCCGCCCCAACCCACCGCCGTCCGTCGGTGAGGGATCGACACGCCAAGACCAGGTGGAGGAGAACAAAGTCACACTCCTCCTACCAGGACTACCTACACCACTACTGCCCACTGCCATGCAGGTGGCTGGCTTGCATCCTGGCTGACAGCTCCTAGCCAGACCTCCCTCACAGCTGACGCCTACCTTATGTCCGCCAATACTTTGGGACTCGGCTGGTGCTCTGCGCATGCATGAGAGCATCGGGACGGCCGCTCAGCCTCAGTCCCCAAAGTCAAAAATGGATCGGATGCGAGACAGATGAGTACCATACATGTAAGGTACTGTAGTATACCGGTCACGATAGAGGGCGTCGACTTCGACGTCGACATGCCCTCGGCTTAGCACTACCAGGTATATAACAAGTTGCTGCTCCATGCTGATTGTCTGAGCTTATTATTACTGCCTGTGCATTCCCAGGGACTTGACATTGGACCTAGTTACACTTATTGAATCTTGCCACACCGCCCACCGTGCTTCTTCTCGCAATACTTTACTTCACTCACAGTTCCGACAGCTGGCCAGCAAAAGCAGCATACCTGAATGTCCATGATGGAACAACAGAAAAGGTAAGAGTCGACCTCCAATTTATAGAAAGCACTTGCCCCATCCGGAGACCCGCAGCTCCTGCCTCAGCGCTGGAAATATTACAACATACCTTACCGCAGGAGCCATTGGACAGGAAACTGGAACCTCCCGTCTTGAACCATCTCATCGCATTTGCCGTCCACCTCATCTCCGGTCATGACATTCTTCGCCAACCTAATAGCAACCTGAATCCCTTCGACCATCTCGCACGAAATGCCGCGATCCCTGCTACATCTGCCTATCTTAGACCTTAGACATCTCTTAGCGAGATTAATATGAACGACAAACGATACAGACCTACCGAGCCGCGGGAGCTGCTGCAGCCGAATGGGACGCCAGAGACAACTTCGTACAGGTCAAGACAGCTTCGGGGCAGCCTTATCACGACCAGTGGCGGTATTGGTACTGCCAAGCACGACGACTGGTTGGATGGGGTGAAGCAAGATCCAGTACCCGATGCGGCAATGGCAAGACGGCGACCTCGAGCCCGTGTTGGAACCTCCAGAATGAGATCAGACACGTGCAATAAACCGTTGCCGAAAGCGCCATGCGAAGGCGATAAATTCGAAACCGGCCTCGACAAGGATTGGTGCCCGCCTTGGAAAGACGAGCTCAGTCTGCCAACCAGGATTCCGCACATTCATGCTGCTACATAGTACCTTTTGCTGCTTTTTCACACAACATCCAACATGACGCGAGCCGCTAACTCCTTTCCTAGCCCCAAGTTTGCCACAAATGGCAGTAAGAGTGAGAACAACCCTCGCCAGTATGAGAGTATCGTGAACGGCAAGCCAATGAGAACGCAAACAGCACACACAGATGGCATCGAATCACCGCCTGAGCCTGAAATGTCGACACTGGACAGAGCTCGGGCAAATGTATGGCAGTCGCTGCAGCAGATGAAGACGCTCCTTTCTGCCGTCAAAGCACCCTTGCCCACGCATTCCGGCGATGGCTCATATTTACCACAACCAGAGAAGGAGAACCTCTGGGAGGACGTGAATGAGATCTTTCGTGATATCGGTAGGCAAGATGTCAAGGATCTAGACGGGCTGTTCAAAGCCGTCAAGGCTTCCAAGCTTGGTCAACCTCTGAACGACAAGCAATACTTGATGGAGAGTATGATTGCAGTGGCTTGCAAGATGCCTGACGGCTTCCTCCAGAAGAAGATTACCGAGAGCTTGGTTACCACCCTCTGGGATGACCTCGAACACCCTCCTCAAACCCTTCTCAGCGACGAGTTCCAATTCCGACAACCAGATGGGAGTAACAACAGCTACAAAAACCCCAACATTGGCAAAGCGGGCATGCCGTATGCACGAACAGTAGCGCCGAAGGTCAAGCAACCCGGCGTTCTACCCGATCCGGGCATTCTATTTGACTCGCTCATGGCCCGGAAGGAGGGCTCTTCCACTCCACACCCCAATCGCATTTCGAGTATGCTGTTCTATCTGGCGAGTATCATTATCCATGATATCTTCCGAACCGATCACGCAGATTACAACAAATCCAACACATCTTCCTACCTGGATCTGGCGCCACTCTATGGTTCCAACTGGGAAGAGCAGAAGCGCATGAGAACTTTCCAAGACGGGAAGATCAAACCTGATTGCTTCTCCGAGACGAGATTGTTGACTTTCCCACCAGGTGTGGGTGCGCTGCTGATCTGCTTCAATCGATACCATAATTATGTGGTGGAGCAGTTGGCAAAGATCAATGAGGATGACAGATTCAGTGTCAATCCACGACAGAAGACGGTCGATCGATATGGGGAGAAGGATTTGGATAAGAGGGATGACGATCTTTTCCAGACTGCGAGACTTATTACTTGTGGGCTCTACATCAATATGATTCTCATTGGTGAGTTAAACAGATTTCCCTCGCCAAGGTTTCGAGGCCGGTGTGGCTACTGACTGCCACCACTACAGACTACGTGCGAACGATTTTGAATCTGAATAGGACCGACGACAACTGGCAGCTCGACCCACGCGTGAATATTGTCGATGGCCCGCCCGTTGGCACCGGTAACCAGTGTGCCGCAGAGTTCAATCTCGTTTACAGATGGCACTCCGCTGTTTCACATCGAGACGATCTGTGGACACAGCAATTGTTCAAAGAGATGTTTCCCAGCATAGCAGCAGCCGACGCCCACAAGCCAGAACACATGTACAAATTCTTGGGTGCGCTGCAGCAGCTACAAGCCAAGACCGAGTCCAAGGAGCCCAACGAGCGCCACTGGCCTGCTCTGCAAGAAGAGAGAATGGACCGTGTCGAAACGGGCCCATTCGCTGGGAACTTCAAGGATGACGAGCTAGCAGAACTCCTGATCAGTAGTATTGAAGATTGCGCCAACACCATGGGGCCGCAGCAAGTTCCCACTGTGATGAAAGCCATTGAAATCCTCGGGATCCGCCAGGCTCGGACATGGAAGTGCGCCACATTGAATGAGATGCGTAAACATTTCGACCTCACTCCCCATGAAACGTTCGAATCCATCACCGACAACAAGGAGGTCGCTGACGCCCTTCGACACCTCTATGACACTCCCGATCAAGTGGAACTTTATCCTGGATTAGTAGTGGAAGATGCCAAGGATCCTAAACTGCCTGGCTCGGGTCTTTGCCCGTCATTTACTACCAGTCGTGGCGTGTTATCTGATGCCGTGGCGTTGGTCCGAGGCGACAGATTCTACACCAGCTCGTACACGCCTGCTCTCCTCACGAACTGGGGCTTCCAGGAAGCTTCGAGCGACTTGACGATTGATAATGGCTGTGTTTTCTACAAGCTGTTGCTGAGGGCGCTGCCGAACAGCTTTGATCCAATGAGTGTTTATGCGCATTATCCGATGACCGTGAGTCGTTTCACAAGCAGAGGGATGGCCGGTGTTGTATGACCGGAGCTAACGTATCTACAGATCCCTTCAGAAATGTCCACCATTCTCAAAGGTCTGAACAAGGATCACCTCTACCAGTTCGACAGACCTACTGAAAAGAAGCACCCCGTGGTACTCTTCAGTGCAGCAGCAGTCAAGCAAGTGACTGAAGACCAAGCCACCTACCACGTTACATGGGGCCCCGCAATGGAGTTCCTGATGGGCCACCAAGTGCGCAACTTCATGCTTGCTGGTGACGGCCCCAAAAATGCCGAGTCACGAATGATGATGGAGAAGGCCATGTACTTTACAAACGGGGCATCAACCACTCAGCCGAAGGGCAACGAGAAATGGCTGCAAGCAGTGAGGGAGTTTTACGAGAGAAAGACTACGGAGTTGCTGAAGGAGAAGAGTTATACATTGGCGGGAGTGAATTATGTGGATCTTGTGAGAGATGTAAGCAACATTGCACACGTGCATTTTGGGAGCGAACTGTTCTCGTTGCCGTTGAAGACAAAGGAGTTTCCTAGAGGGATCTTCACCGAGCAGCAGATGTATTTGATCATGGCTGCGGTAAGTGACGAGCTCACTCAAGGACATGCGATAACGACATGAGCTAATGTGTGTGTGTGCGGAATTAGGTCTTCATTTGCGTCTTCTTCGATCTAGACCCACCGAAATCCTTTCCGCTGCGCATGAAGGCTCGTGAAGCTTGTCAACAACTGGGAAAACTCATGGCACTGCAAGTCGAGAGTATTAAGAAAACCGGAAGACTCGCGGAGACGCTCATCGATGCCGTCAAGCCAAACAATGGTCCACTGGCAGATTATGGCGTGCATATGATCGCCCAACTGTGCAAAGCGAACCCGCACATGAACACCGAAGAGCTGGTATTTGGTCATATCATGGGCACAGTCGGCGGCATGGTCCCTAACCAAGGCCAACTGTTTGCACAAGCGCTCGATTACTTCTTCACTGAAGGCAAAGAGCATCTCCCGGAAATCAACAGATTGGCTAAGCTCGACACTCCAGAGGCAGATGACGTGTTGATGCACTATCTCATGGAAGGTGCACGTCTCAGTGGCGAAACTGGTGCTTTCCGCTTCACGACCAAGGATACCACCATTGTGGACGATACGGGCCTCACGAATCTCCCGGGGAGCGAGAATGGTGTTTTTACGCATAAATTGCAAAAGGGAGATATCGTCATGGCGAACTTCAAAGCTGCATCTCGGGACCCTCGAGCCTTTCCGGATCCGGATGTCGTCGTCCTCGATCGACCTTTGGACAGTTATCTCATGCTGGGACATGGAGCCCATCAATGCTTGGGTCTCCCCATGACCAGGGTGGCTTTGACGACCATGTTGAAAGTTGTCGGAAGATTGGACAACTTGAGAGCTGCACCTGTTGCTGTTGGTAATGGAGGCAGTCAAGAACACCAGATCAAGAAGGTGTTGAAGGAATTTGTACCTGGTGATTCGAAGACTGGGGGTCTGCCCGAGAGTTGGCACTATCACCTGTATTTGACCGAGGATTGGGACCAGTATTTCCCTTTTCCGACCAGTTTGAAAGTTTCTTGGGATGGGATCATACCTGAAGTCGAGAGGAGGTCAAATGGGATTTAGATAGAGATGGACTTGAGTACCTTGCAGTTGGGAGTAATTTAGGGCTTTGGCTTGGTGGCGTGATTCCATTGATTGATGGATGGACCAATGAGTCACAATCGTATTCATATTTTCTTTCCTTATTCGGCTGCCTAAGCAAGCAGGCACAAGGTATCGAGGAAATGGTTGCCTACAGGGGTCTGCACTCTAGGTCTTCCCCGTTTGTAGATTTTTTTCTAGAGTCCGACTCGAATCACTCGATAGGCTAAAGAATCAATGTTCCAATAGAAGAGAAATAAATAACCTTACCGTAGATGTAGAAATCGCTACCTAGTATTATTTGACATGTACTATTGATATGATACCTTACCTACACTTACAGGTACATGTAAGTATTGCCTACCTTATCTATTATTGACTAGGATGATACCTTAGGATTACAATTTACATTTCTCTTTATCCTACCTCCTACAGTACATGTATACGGTATACCTAAGTAATGTATGTATCTGTTCTAATATCTATCTTTTTCTTTCGTTTCTGGTTCTTTTCGAAATTTCCGGCTTCTAGGGTACGATAAGGTGAGTAGTATCCAGAGGTCAGGTAGGTAGGTAGGTGGGTAGGTGTATATGGGTGGGGGTGGAGGATGTTCTTATAACTGATTGAACTAACTGAGTGATTGAGTGATTGACTTGACTAGGCAACTGTGCTAGACACAGTGTCTTTGGCTTTCTCGATTGATACTTACCTTACCTCCTAGGTACCTTGGGTACATATACTTAGGTACTTTTAGGTGTTTGCTTATGGGTACTGTCGAGGGCGGTACTTGTAGACGACTAGGGATGGTCAGTAAGAAAGAGACAGACACAGACTCTTTGGTAGAGAGTTCTTTGGTAGAGAGTTCTTGGTGTCCAATACACGAATTATGTAGTCGACACTGCCTGTTGTTGCCGTGTTGCGCGTGAAGATGGTGTTTCTTCTTCTCGCACTCTCGCATCTATAACGTACCTATGTAACCACCACACTCCATCATGTCCATATCCAGACAGACAGACAGACAGATCAGGGATGACGGAGAGGTTCTTTTTAATGCTGAGCAACAACACCCGCATCGCCCGCCTGAGCCGTAATTCTCTTCTTATAATCCTTCACCGTGCCATCAAAGTGCTCGACAGTACCATTATCGCACACCCACAAGCTCGTGCACACGTTTTGCAACATGGTCACATCGTGGCTGACCATCAAGACACCACCTTGGAATTGGCTCAACGCCGTGCTGAGAGCGTCCATGGCTTCGATATCCAAGTGATTGGAAGGTTCGTCCAGGACGAGGATGTGAGGGTTTTGTAAGCCGATACACGCAAATGCGACGCGGGATTTCTGGCCTCCGGATAAGAGGGCCATTTTTTGGAGGCCGGTCATGCCGGTGATGCCGAAGGCTCCGAGGTGGCGACGGTATTCTTCGTCGGATTTGCCTGGGTATTGAGCGGCCATGAAGCCTACGGCGCTGGCGTTGAGGTCTAAGGCGTCGACGTGGTGTTGGGCGAAGAAGCCGATTCTCAGACGGGGGTTTTGGGAAATTAGACCTGAAGTGGGCGAGAGGGCCCCGATGAGGAGTTTGAGTGCGGTGGTCTTGCCGGCTCCGTTGGGTCCGACGATACCGATGCGGGAGTCGAGTTGGACGTCGAGGTCGACATTTTTGAGAAGGATCTTGTCGGGACTGTAGCCAAAGGTGACATTATCCATTTGTATGATGGGCGGAGAGAGCTTTTCGACATCGGGAAATTTGAAGTGTACAGTGTAGACACTCTCGGGCGGGTCGAGGACTGGCATGCGCTCCAGTTTCTTGATGCGGGATTGCGCTTCGGAACTCTTTGCGGCGTTGTAGCGGAACTTGTCGATGAACGCTTGCAGATGAGCGCGTTCGCCCATCTGCTTCTCGTACTCTCGCTGCGCGGTCTTGCGGCGCTCTTCTTTGGTCGCGTAGAACGAGTCGAAGTTTGCACCTTTGTAGTAATCGAGACGTTCAGAGTGCTGGTGAATGATGTCTGTGGCAACTTCGTTCAGGAAGGCTCTGTCGTGAGATACAACCAGGACTGTGCTGGGGTAGCCTTGTAAGTAGTTTGACAAGAAAGTGATGGACGGAACTGTGGAAATGTCAGTTTACCATGGCACGATCTCTCACCAACGAGATGAGACTTACCATCCAACATGTTCGACGGCTCATCCAGCAGTAGCAGGTCAGGCTCGCAAAACAGTGCACGCGCCAGAGCAAGACGCATACGCCAACCACCAGAAAAGGTCTTGGTCGCGAACTGCTGTCTCTCGTGCGAGAAACCCAGACCAGCCAGAATACTGGCCGCACGTGGCTCTGCCTTATCCGACTCCATCTCTGCGAGCTTGCCTTGGACATCACTCAGCGTGATATCGAGACCCTCGCGTTGCTGATCGAGTCGTGCCGCATCTGTGGACGTGTCTGCCATGGACGATCGCTCGGCCTCGAGTTCTGCGAGCTCCTTGGTGATCTTCTCCTGTTCTCTCAGAAGATGTTTCCGCCACACATCGGCGTCCAGCACTGCTTGTAGTGCCGGTGTGTCATCTCCCGTAATCTCTTGTTCGACGTGAAGAATAGAAATGTGAGTAGGAATCGCCACCTCTCGCTTACTGAGGGCTCGGAGCAATGTCGATTTACCGATACCATTTTGCCCGACCAGACCATACCTGCGGCCGTAGGCGAGCGTCAGGTTCGTATCCATCAAGATACGCTTACCACCAATGGAGATATCAATGGCATCGACTTTGATATCTTTACTCTTGGACTGCGAGTCTGCACCCAACTGCAGCGGGTTGACCGCCATGAAGAACTCCTCGTATGACTGCTGCTCATCCGGCTGGTCGAGCAGCCGAGAAGCCTCATACTCGACGGTTTTGAAGACTTTTCGGTCTTGTTTCGCACGCAGCTTACGTTCAGCCTTTTCAAGCTTCTTCTTGTCTACACGAGACTCGACCTTGCGTGTGTTTGCAGATTCCAAGTCTACAGTAGCACCGGTCAGACCCAAGGTCGAGGAGACTCCTCGCTGCGAGGCCACTTGGATGGTCTGGTCCAGCCTCTTGGCTGAAGGAGCCTGTTGTCGCCGCCGCCCCCCATCAATGCCATCTTGGCTGTGGAGACGCGAGACGAATTTCTGGACCAAGTTCTGCACTGAGGCTTCGTTCTCACCCGAAAGATCCCCCGATGCAGACAAGAGAAGCTGCAAGATGGCTGCGGCAGCTTCATCGGAGCCATGCTCATGTTCGAGATATCCGGAAGCATATTCTGCCACGACCGGATCGACCTGTGGCAGCTGCTCTCGTATATCGGACTGCATCGCGACTATCACAATGGGACGTGTGGTATGGGTGGCCGGATGGTGCTCCGGATGACGGCCAGCTCGCGTGCGGACCAGTTTTGCAAGGCCGATATGGATTTGACTCGTCGGTGGTGGCGTCGGTCTGCAGGCGGCGGCGGCGCTCAGTGCGTGGTCAACAAGCGTGGCAAAGCGGATTATTTTGTTGTACAGCAGTACCCGCTACGAGGTAGAATACCCGACGTGTTTGGAAAAATTGAGACCCCTCTTTAAACACCCGAATGGAGCTAGCGTACCGGATGACAAAATTAGACTCCCACCTATGGAGGTAGAGACATTGCTTTCTACTCGTGGGAACGGGACGGGATACATCACAAAATGCACTCTATTCCCTGGACGAGATGATGAGAAGATTGCTCACGGCTGCTTCTCGCCTCTGATCTGATGATGCGACTGGTCTCCCCGTTCTCTCAAAGCGGGCAATCATACTTTGGAAGAGACCCCGACGTGATCGCGTTGGGAGCGTGTAAGAATAACCCCTAAGAAAAAAAAGGGACAAAGGTACAAAAAAGGTACAAAAAAAAGTACTGTTTCACCCTTGCTCAATGGAAATCATATGGCAGGCTCTCGTGCATCCGACCGACCACTACTGCACACTACGGGAATGATGCAGAGAGTTGTGCATTGTGCAATGCGGTTGTCTCGTCTATAGTACAGGCACAGAAGTATATCTGGACAATCTGGACATTAGATCGATCGCCTCTTGGGTGGTGTAACTGCCAGATTGAGCGGTCGCACGGGAGAGGTACCCATGTAGTGCTGGGCAGTGGGCACGCCATTGAAAGATTGAATTCTCCATCATTTTCAATCAATTCCCAATCATCGCCCGGAAAGCTGCAAGGCAGCCTCTTAGCATGGACAGGGATCATAGGAGGTAAGCTACACCTCATCATCATCATTATCAATCTTGTGTTTCGTAAAACAGCCTTCACGTCGGACAACCAGACGCCCTTGCGGCCGATTCAGTCTTGCCTATCCGTCAACAGTGACACGCTGAAGGTTGTTCAGCAACGCCCGTGAGTTCACACGCTGTCTCATCATGGCCCGACTTGAAACCCATGCTGTTGCTATGTGATCGTTTTTTGGCTCGTGCGACCTCGGCCGGCGCTCTATCAGGTGGCGCTGTGCAGGATCGTCAACGTGATTGATCATTCTAGAGAGTTCCGGCGCCGGCCTTCTTGACTCCGCTTGGCAAAGCAGTCGGACGTCTTCTTCCTTCGGTATCTGTAATGTCCATCTCATGCTGAACGGACGGACGGTCAGCAGCCATGCAGGATAACGATGCCGTGATCACTGCAAGACATACGCCTCCTTGCGCCCTTGCAGTGATGTGCTCCAGTTACCCGGTTGACGGCATCGAACCTAGTAGGTACATACTGTAGCTCACAGTAGACAGTTGGGGTGCCCGTCCAAGTTCACCTGGTGCCAACTTCACCTTGTCTCCCCGCGCGCGCTTCGAGCTCGCTTGTAGAGAAGAGAGCTGCCCGCTGCATCTGGCCATCTCCAGGCACCGAGGCTGTGCAGGCTCAAACACGGGAGCTGTCAAAGGAACTATATGTATGTACGTTGTGCTCCAGAGCGAATCGTAATGGCTCGCGGGGCTGCAATGGGCGGAGCGCGGGTCCGCGGCTGGGTCCACTGCCCTAGGTGTCAGGTGAAGAGCAGCTTGCAGCAACAGCAGCTGAGATATCTGGGTGGATACGCCGTTTCGTAGCCAGGATGCAGCCGTCAGCCTTGAGCGAGTTCTCTCTCCATCATTTGTGGATCGCTTGTAGACTTTCCGCCCCTCGCCGATCCAGGCAGAGCAGGTTCGGGTACGATCAAGTATTGTGCGTGGGCAAACCTGGACATGGAGCGTTGTCGCGCGACGCCCAAGGGCACGCATTCGATCATGGAGATACTCGGTGCTCACCCGGAAAAGGTGACTAGGTACCTACCTCTAGGCACCGTACCGCACTGCACGTATGCGAGCGGCTACACTCTACAGGAATTCATGTCATGTATTTGAGTCCGAGTCGGTGACGACGACGACTAGGACCGTCCGTGATGAAGGATGATGATGATGATGATGGGGCGGTCGCGTGCCACGGAAGGAGTGAGCTGAAAGGTGATTAAGGTATCATTTTTCGAATATTGTTGTTGTGACATGTCAACGGGCCCTGTTGGTGATGCGCTTTAACCTATCTGCTTAGTGTGACCAGGATCTGAGGGTTGATACCAACTTCTATACAAGCAAGCCCCTCTCTTCAGTCTCGTTACCCGCTCTCTGCACCCTTGCCTTTCGCGCCCATCTGGCCCAGTCGCTCGTTGTCGTTGTGAAACAGCAGATGCCATGCTGGCAGTAGCGGAGGCGGACAACAACATGCGCAACCAGAGACATGGTTAACTGGTCTCAGCCGCATCCTCTTCCCCCCGACCTGTCGTTCTCTCCCCATACTGTAGGCTGGCCGTGCGGTCTGGAGGCATGCCAACAGTTGTCTCGACGCTGGGAGCCACTGCTACCATCACTTCACTTGCCTTCCTCGGCCTGGTCCTCACCTCTTCAGACTCCTCGCCGGGTGCAAGCTCCAGCAGTCACCGCAACAGCAACAGCAATAACGGCAATCGCGACTCTGCCGCCGATGAGCTACAGCACCACTTGCCAGACGGTCCAACCAGTGGCAAGAACAGCCGTGGCTACATTCCAGGCACTGCGCGTGCTGCCGCCGATATGAGTACCACCACCACCACGACCGTTGAAACGTACATCGCCCGCCACCAACTGTTTGCACCGCTGCCCACTCGACGCGGCGATGGGACGAGGACGCGCTCCAATTCCGCCAACACTCCCATCAACAGACCAGGAAGCAAAAGGCACAGCTACGCAGGTTTCAGCACGACGGGCATGGATCGATCCCTGCGGCGACCGCAGCAGCAAGAGAAGCAGCAGCGTGAAGAATACAGCGGAGCATCTGACACAACGCCAGCCTCTGGTCCCGCAGCCAATGGTGCGTGGCTGCGACGCCTCTCCAGCACACTTACAACTTCACGAGATTCGAGCCGCACTCCCAGCTCTCGATCCCGACCAGACTCTGCTGCCGTCTCGCACTCCAATGCCTCGCTCGCAATCTCTCAGACCCGCTCGCCGACGCCCATTCTCAATGAGAGCACGATATCGCAGCCTGGGAACGCTCTGGGTGCCAACAAGCTGGTCAAACGCAGCGCGTCGTCGAGTAGCGCAAATGGCTCGTCTACCTCGCGCATTCCAGTGTTTCGAAGACCGGCCACGAGTCATCAACGATCCGCGACTCTGCAGAACAGACTTTCCAGTTCAGACAGGAGCAGCCGCATGACATCCCGCAGTGGCGCGGGGGAAACGGGAACACACGCTGCTCACCAGAGATCATACTTCTCGCCACGGATTGTACTTTCCGAGCAGCTTCCAATGTCGAAGCAGCGGGGTTCCACGGGCATTCCCAATCCCATCCGGCGGTTATATGCCGATAGGAAGCATACACCGACACTGATGTCCGCGAGAGAACTGGTCTTTGTGGACGCTGTTGGGGTGGACAATGGTATGAACGAGTTTGAACACAATACGTATTCCTCTGGGCCAGGTGTTGCAAAAAGTACAGCGTCCTCCCCATTTCCAACACCAGTGGCGCATTTTGAAGAAAGCGCGTCTCCGCGACGTTCTTTCTCCATTGGAGATCTTCTTTCCACCGGACCACAACCTCTGTGGAAACGACCCTCAACGAGCAACAGCATCAGACCCTGGTCCTCAAGAACAATCCGTAGACCGAGACCGGCCTCAATGGGCGGGCTCGTCGACACGACTACACGCAACGACTCTGACCGGCCAGCAAAACGTCGCGACCTCACTGATCCCGCATCATCACAGCGGAGTATCTACTCTTCCTCGTCTAGCAACTACACTTTCCAGCCTGACATTACGCACCAAGTGGGTCTCCATCTGAATGGCGAATTGTCCCAAGCACAGAATGCCGTGGAACCGATATCTGCGTCTGCGTCTCTTTCTCGTGCGCAAACACCCGATCAGAACGGCACGCCATTCGATGCTGGTATCACGACAGCAGCAAGGATACCGAGAGGGTCTGCAACGCCATCTGAGATCGCATCAAGTATTGGCTCGGAAAGTGGGCGTCACTCAATAGGTGGAAATAGCACTGATTATCAAAGTGATGTTTACTACGACTCGATTCCAACAAGAACCACGCGCAGCAGTTCGGGACGTAGAGGTCCACCAATTGATACGATTTTTGACGAGTCACCGCCGACCTTCTCATCTGGCCGCAGCACCAGACTTCGGGACTTTCTGAGCGACGGGCATGAGCATAATGAACGATACAGCACGATTGAGGAGGAAGGAAGTGTCGTCAGCACGCCAGTCAGATCCCTCCGTAATAGGAGCATGACTTCCACTCCGTCAGCAAGGCCAGGTGCCATGCAAGTGTTCTCATCCTCTCCACCTGTGATGCGTCTCATGCCGGATGCCGACGACATCGACTGGGAACTTGCGGACGAAGAAAGGCTGGATGGAGGCCGCATTATACAGCAGCGTGCCTCGAATCCTGCCCTGGGTAAACTCCATCCTGGTCAGACGATACCGCCCCGATTTAGTGCCGCGTTGAGACCTGGACACACCCGTTCTGCAAAGTCTACTCCCGACCGCCATGGGTACTCCCCACTCGACAAGCCGAGTCTTTTCGACTGGGCGGAGCCGCAGCCAAGTCCTAGTCATCCCAATTGCTCTCCTCCGCGTCCACGCACCGTGCATGGGAAAAAGGATCAAGACAGCAGGGGGAGTCGGCCGGCTGGACGTCGACCCCCAAGTGGAATGCATGCCCGAAGTCACAGCGTACCAGTCGTGCCTGACTCTGACAGTAAACGCAGCAGCGTAGTAGCAAACAAGTTTGGAACTTGGGGAGTTGGCAGCAAAGGAGTCACGGAAGATTGGAACGATGATTTCGACTTTGAAGAGCCTGCCGGATCCGTTCATGATAAGCTCGAACAGGACTCACGGCGCGTGGATAGTGGCCACGCTATGTTTGTCCCAAAGTCCATACGCGAACAACAACAGAACGTTGTCGCCAACATCAGTCTACTGCGGGAGTGGGGCCTGTTGATTGAAGAGCTGAAAGAACTGCGTGTACGTGCAGTCACATTGAACATGCTCACGGGGCCGTATGCTCAGGCATGGCGGGAGGTTGATGCGATGATTGAGCTCGCCGATCAAGAGAGCGAGGAAGACACACTGGAGCCTCGCCGTACGCCTCCATCCTCGCCGGGTTTTGATGTCACCGCGTTCGAGGACGTTACGCCTGTCAGAGCCAACAGATTGTCCGGGCAAGCGAAGCTCGGCCCGCAAACCTCAGACCCTGATACGTGGTCCGGAAACGATCATGAGCGCAGTCCCAAATTAGTCACACGACCTCGCAAGGACTCGGAGTTGGTCGCACAGAAGGTCATTGCGGCGCTGCAATCGAAGCGGAGTGCAGTAGAATCCCACGCGATTCCAATGCCTGGCGGACATTACAAGAAAGTGCCCTTCGACACCGCTACGCTTCGTCACATAGTACCATATGTGAGTGGTCTGAAACGCAAAGTCAAAGATGCTCTTCGTGAGACTGAAGGTCTCTACACCAGTCCCCAGCGACGAAAGACGGTTGACAACACTGAAACCACTGCACTACGCAGCATCTTCGGTTCCCCCCAAGATGATGATGTAACGAATCGACGACTATCACGACGTAAACAGGCCACCGCGGATAATGATGGACTCGGATTGCCTCTGCCCGATCAGAGTACCAGTCTCACTAATTCTATGGAAAATCTGAGCATACCTTCTCCACCTTGAGCTCATCCATACGGGTAGACGATACGAGACCACTCATGGGATAGCAACTCCCAATTTGTAATACCGGTTATTATTGGCCTCGCAGCCAAGTTTTGCCAGATTTTTTGTTCCACAGCATCAAGGCGCACTGCAGGGCGTTTCCAGAAGATTTCTGAAAAGGGCAAAGGACGGGAAGGAGTCAGATTTTGAGCACGACAGCTGCGACCGAAAGGCGCACTGCAAGCACAGCATATGTATAACAGAGCGGAATGGCCATTCATGGGAGCCAGTGAGCACCTTCTTCTTCGATGAACCAAAAGTGCTTTGGTGAAGGATTCTTGTAACATGCATTTGGTCCACTTTGCGTCTGTTGCATAGCGAGAGAGGATGTAGGTATACCTCTAGCATATGTAAGGTACCAAAGAGAGCGAGCCACGAGGCATACACGTTCAGAGTGAGACGGTTCGTGTTTCCCATTCGTCTTTTAGGTTGAAAGTGACATGGACATGAGATTGACAATCATGGCAAAGGAACCTGGAATGAACATACACAATGTTAGCGGCACCCGTTCCATTCGTCTTGGCAGTGAGTGGGGGCACTCGCATCTGCCGGTGTCCGAGCGTGCGGAGGGGTAGTTCAATGCATATTGCACACTTTTTTCTGTCTTCCTGTGTCTTTCTCTCTCTTTTTCTCTCTACCCACCTACCTCCTTCACTACTTCTCACATCACACCTCTCAACATATTATCCTGTCACAATACCGCAAAGATGGGTGAACCAGCATCGCAGTTCAAGGTTGCAGACATCAACCTCGCGGCCTTTGGCCGACGCGAGATTGAGCTGGCCGAGCAGGAAATGCCTGGCCTTGTCCAGACCCGCGAGAAGTACGCCGCTGAGCAGCCCCTCAAGGGCGCTCGCATCGCCGGTTGCTTGCACATGAGTATGTCTACCACCATTCCACCCCATCTCCCTCCCCCGTCTCGATCCCCACGCGGTGGGGATCCAAAGAGCATTGGTGGCGGGCGAGGACGGGCAGGATACAGAGAGTAGATAAGACCGTGATGAGCTGACAGACCTGGCACAGCCATCCAGACTGCCGTCCTTATCGAGACGCTCAAGGCACTCGGTGCAGAGCTGACCTGGACCTCGTGCAACATCTTCTCCACCCAGGACCACGCCGCTGCCGCCATTGCCGCCAGTGGCACCCCAGTGTTCGCATGGAAGGGCGAGACCGAGGAGGAGTACCAATGGTGCTTGGAGCAGCAGCTGAAGGCTTTCCCATCGGGCAAGCCTCTCAACCTGATTCTCGACGATGGTGGTGATCTCACTGCTCTCGTGCACACCAAGTACCCAGAGATGCTCGAGGGCTGCTACGGTATCTCGGAGGAGACTACCACTGGTGTCCACCACCTGTACAAGATGCTCAAGAACAAAGGCAAGGGCAATGGCCTTCTTGCACCATCCATCAACGTCAACGACTCCGTCACCAAGAGCAAGTTTGACAACCTGTACGGCTGCAGAGAGTCTCTCGTCGATGGCATCAAGCGTGCCACCGATGTCATGATTGCTGGCAAGATTGCTGTCGTCGCTGGATTCGGTGACGTTGGCAAGGGTTGTGCGCAGGCTCTGCACTCCATGGGAGCTCGTGTGCTCGTCACTGAGATTGATCCGATCAACGCACTTCAGGCAGCCATGGCTGGCTACCAAGTCGTCACCATGGAGGACGCTGCTCCTATCTCTCAGATTTTCGTTACCACCACTGGATGCCGCGACATCATCACTGGTAAGCACTTCGAAGTCATGCGTGAGGACGCAATTGTCTGCAACATTGGTCACTTCGACATCGAGATCGACGTTGCGTGGTTGAAGAAGACGGCCAAGGAAGTCGTCAGCATCAAGCCTCAAGTCGACCGTTTCCTCATGCCAAACGGCCGCCACATCATTCTCCTTGCAGAGGGTCGTCTGGTCAACTTGGGTTGTGCCACCGGTCACAGCTCTTTCGTCATGTCCTGCTCCTTCACCAACCAGGTCCTTGCACAGATCATGCTGTACAAGGCTGGCGACAGAGAGTTCGCGACCAAGTACGTCGAGTTTGCACGTGCCATTGAGGGCGAGGCAGACGGCCCAGTCAAGATCCAAGAGGAGGGACAAGTCAAGTCGAGTGTGCCACGCATGCCAATTGGTGTGTACGTGCTGCCGAAGATTCTGGATGAGCAGGTCGCTCTCCTCCATCTGGACCACGTCAACGCGAAGCTCACCAAGATGACCGAGGTACAGGCAGAGTACATGTCTCTGCCGATCGAGGGACCTTTCAAGACGGACATGTACCGCTACTAGAGAGCGTGCACGATGAGGATTTAATGATGTTTATGAGCGATGTTTCAACACTTGTTTCGGACTGCAGAGATACCACTACTCGGGGGGAAAGGGGTTGTCTTTCAACAGGGCATTCAGAGGCCAAAAAAAGTATTGCAAGGCGCTTGGGCGTTCAACAAAGAAAGATTTAGCCAGCAACTAGAAGCTGTCTCACCGGGCCTCACTTCAACTACGAGGCCGGGCGTTGGCTGGATTTGATAGAGTCTTCATATACCCATGGAGACCTGTGCCCGCCACAAGCTGTAACAACAACAATACAAAGAAAGATTTGTGTTTTCGATCAGAGGTTGTTTGCATCATTTCCCAAGTGTCCCAGTGATAACATACGCATGTATAAGTGAAAGTGACGTTCATGTAAGAGAGCAAAGTGCATGCGTCATGGATAGATAGTAGATCAGGTACATGTACCTCCTTGTTAACCTCCTCCCCTCTCTCTCTCCAATGCGGGTACCCCTATGAGGTATGTATGTACATGTATGTACCTATAGTAGATACAGGTTAGGGGGGTACAGTACCTAATAAGATAGCTATCTTGTATACCTAGAGGACAGTACAAGATGAAAAAAAAGATTCTACCTACCTAGTACCTACCTAGTCTTCCTTCCTTACTTCTCTTTCTCCTTTTCGATATATTTGGCCGGGAGAGTAAAAGGTAAGTAAGGTAGGAGGTAGGTAGCCAGTCGGGCAAGCAGGCAAGCAAGCAAGCCAGTAAACAGTGGCTGATACTCGTACTGATGTGGCGGTTGACGTGTCTCACCTCGGTTTTTGCTTGGCAAAAAAAAAAAAAAAAAAAACGAAGTTGTTGTTGTAACCAACATTGAACACAAGGGCGAATCGAGAGGAAGATGTGTTTGACGCTGCACAGCACTGCACTGCCTCCAGGCCTAGTTTTTTCTTTCCTTTCTTTTCCCGCGAACGATCGTGTACAGGAGGAAGATTCATGTTTACCTTATTTCGTATATCCCGTATAACTTCTAAACGAGATCTTTTCTTTTTCTTTTCTTTTTTCTTTTCTTTTTTCATTCATTTGATGACTACCTACCTCCATGTACAATACTACGCCACAAGCAGGTATACGTGGCTTTTCTTGTAGGCAATAAAAAGTATAGATAGGTAGGACACGTTTTTTACTCAGCCTTGGGTGTATATTGAGGAGGCCCTCGGATTTTATCTCGTAGCCACGCATGTGCGTGTTGTGAAGGTATTCCGAGGGAGGGATGTTGTTGTTGTTGTTGTTTATTTCTGATTCTCTGAAGTGTTTGGGTATTCTGAAAGCGAGGAGGGTCGGAAGGTGGATTGAGTGGCGCATGCATAGGTTTGAGTGGGATATGCGAAGATGCGAATATGGATTGTGAGGAATTCGGAACGAGTAGAGTGCCATTATGATAGGAGTTCTTTTGGAGTTGCTTGCTCGCCTTTTGTTTCATTGCTGCTATTGCTGCTATTGCTGCTGCTGCTCCTTGGCAATCGACACTTTGTTGACTTTTCATCACTGCTTGTCCGGTATATGCAGTTAGGAGGTAGTACCCGGTAGTACCGTCTTCACTATTACAGTCCTTACTGGTCCAGTCTGGTCGTACCGCGCCCTACAGGTAAGGATCACCAATGGAGGCTCGGGAGATCCGTCCCCGGTTAGCAACATGAAGATGATTCGTCACGGCAGTGCAAGCCGCTCTTATACGAGCAGAATGCGAGGAACGATCGGATTTCTGCGAGGTACAACCTTTTTTTTTGATGTTTCTCCTCTCCTTCTGCTGCCTTGTACACTTGTACTGTGACGCAGTCGTTGGTGGATGATGATATCGCGTCCTGCTGCTCTTGGGACCAACACAAGCAATTGATGGGCACAGGCATAGGCACAGGCATAGGCAACACCATTCATTGCCCGAGACCAGGGACATGTAGCTACGTACTACGACAACTCCTCTGGTATATTAGGCACGGCCAACTTCCTTTTCCTTATGTCTCTAATTCTCTCATTGATGTCTCTGTCCTGAACGCCTCTCCATTCTCCATTCTCTCTGATGGCTTACGATTCCAGTCTACTTGACGACATTCACAGCGTAAAGGCGACCGATGTCGTCCGGATACAAGTCTACTTCATTGCACTCTATGCTCTATACACGATCGCTTCGGCACTTTATGTGGTCAGTATCCCCACATATCTGGCTGGATCATTCACTTCGGTAAGGTAACAATTGACCATTTGTCTCCCGATAGGCCTTCCTTGGTCCTCTGAGAAAATTCCCGGGGCCAAAGCTTCGAGCCTTGAGCAGATTCCCAGAATTGCTCTCGTTGGCCCAAGGAAACGATGCCAGCGATCAAGTCGCACTGCACGCCAAGTACGGACCGGTGGTGAGAGTGGCACCCAACAAACTGTCGTATGCTGCGGGAGCGCAAGCACACAAAGACATCTATGGCCATCGCAAGCATGGTCAGCCCAGTATCGCAAAAGACCCGTCCTTTTACGTCGCATCTCCCAACGGAGTCCATAACCTGGTCAGCGCCGACGATGCCAACCATGCCCGTCAGAGGAAGGCCTTGTCTCCTGCTTTTGCGGACAAGACATTGAAGGATCTGGAGCCTCTGCTGGGCCATTGGATGAACAAGATGAAAGAGAAGCTTCAGCAAAAGGCAGAAGCCGGCGAAAAGGTGGACATTCTCAAGTACTTCAACTGCACCACCTTCGACATCATGGGCGACTTGGCATTCAGTGAAGACCTTCACATGCTCGAGAATGGCGAATACTCTGCTTGGGTCCAGGCCATCTTCTCCAGTGCCAAGGAAATGGCCAAGCTGCGTGCCTTTAAAATGATTAACTGGTTTACTGAATGGCTCGTCAACACTCTCCTACTGAACAACCCCAATGCGCAGCTGAAGCGGTCGCAATACTGGAACGACTCCAAAGAACGAGCGGATCGCAGGCTTGCAAGCACGCCAGAAAGGCCCGATCTGTGGACCAAGATCTTCGAGAAGAGCAAAGTCGCAGATGGCCTCACCCTCGACGAGTACCACAGCACAGCCTCCATCCTCATGATTGCAGGGACAGAAACGACAGCCACCGCACTTTCAGGCGTCATGTATTACCTGCTGCGCCATCCCCAATACCTCCAAGCACTGAGTCAAGAAATTCGAAGCGCCCACAGCACTGCCGACGACATCACCATGGAGTCCTTACAACACCTCAAGTACCTACATGCAGTTCTGCAAGAGGGACTACGAATCTATCCCCCCCTACCATCAATCCTCCCGCGCATCGCCCCCGAAGGTCTCGTCGTCTGCGGCCAAGTCGTACCCCAAGGCACCATCTTAGGCGTATCTCACCTCGCGACCTATCGATCTGCGGAGCATTTCAAAAACGCATCCGAGTTTCGGCCCGAGCGCTGGCTGGGAGAGGATGTCCAATACCAGGACGATCATCGGGACAGTTTCGAGCCCTTTGCCGTCGGTCCTCGGAATTGCTTGGGGAAAAGTCTTGCGTGGCATGAAATGCGACTGGTTCTCGCGACTGCGATTTTTCATTTTGATTTTACTTTGTGTGAGGAGAGTTTTGAGTGGGATGAGCAGAAGGTGTATGTGTTTTGGGAAAAGAAGGCTCTGTGGTGTAAATTGACTCCGGTGATACGGGATGCGTAAAGAAAAGAGAAAAACAATTGCAATGCTTATGTGGATTGTGGATTGGGTCGGGTACGGGGAACATGTTGTCTTTTTTGGGGGGGGGGGATTTTCTTCCGTTTCAGGAAAAAGAAAAAGAGGAAGAAGAAGAAAAAGTGAACTGACTGTTCTACACATGGCTGTCGATAGAAAATCGCCTAATCTGCTGGCATTCTGACTCGCTCGCGCTTTCTCTCTCTCTCTCTCTCTCTCTCTCCCCCAGCACTACCTTCCCATCCATCCACCCAGTGACCTCCTACCACAAAAAATGTGTACAATCCACACCCCATCATCAGCCCCATCGGCCGGATCCGGAAATACATGAGTATCGGTCCCAAACAAAAAAAACCAACCATCAGGAGTCGGAACCATGATTCCTCCTCCGCCGCGCCAGAAAAAAAAACAAGACGACAAGAACAAACTTTTTTTCAAGGCTTCACAAGCCACCCATATCACTTAGAGAAATGACTTGAAGATGGATGGATCGGATCTCTCGCATACAGAATCCGAAAGCTTTGCATGTGGTCCAATTGATCATTATCATCGTCAAGCAGATTTACCTGAAAGGAAAAAAAGGGTTGGTTGTTTCGATATGGATGCGCCTCCTGAGTTCTGCTTCCCTCCCTCGATCGATGCGCGCGCCGTGGTGTTCTTCTCCTTTGTGGGACTTGGGTTTGTTACACCCATCTCACCTTTTCTTGTGTGATAGGATGGATTTGATGTTTCTTCGTCTACCTTACTAGTACATGGCTCTTCTTGTTCTCTCCCCCTCTCTCTCTTCATGATGATTGTGTGATCTCTTTCTCTCTAACACACACACATACAACTCTCCTTCATCAAATCCTTTCTTCCAGTCTCCTCACTCTTTATATTCATTACGAGATCAAATCACCCATACCTCATCCACTCTCACCCCAATCTTTTCGAATTCCCACATCCATTCTCCCATCCCAACTTCTCAGCTTTTCCTTTTCCGAAAAAAAACCCCCAAACCACGAACCATGCATTCCCCCCATTTCCACCGCCTGGCAGCACCAGTCCTTCTACTCCTACTACAGTTACAGCTCCATCCCCTCTTCACAACAGCAAGCAGTAGTCCCATCGACCACACCCACGACTCGGATAAAACATTATTCCACTTCGTCACTGTAAGTAAAAAGACCTCTCAAAATATAAAAAGAAGTCCCAAGCAAAATCTAACCCTCCCAAATAGCGTCCCGACCTCAAAGCCCCCCGCTGGAACATCCAAATCTCCCCCTCCTCCTCCTCTAGAGAAGAAGGCCTCACACCCGGCTACTGGTTCCTCGCCCCCTTTTCCCACCTCGACCAAATTTCCCCTGCGAACGGCTGGGTCGGACCGCACATTTACGATAACTCGGGAGAATTGGTGTGGAGTGGAGTGGGGGTTTCGAGGGGGTGGGATGTGCTGGATTTTAGGAGGAGTTTTGTGAAACAAGAGAAAAAAGAGAAAAGGGGAGAGGAGGAAGGAGAGGGGAAGGGAAAGGGGGAGGGGGCGTTTTTGACGTTTTTGGTGCAAAAGACGGGTGAGGCGGTGGTTTTGGATGAAATGTATCAGGTGAGGGAGAGGAGGAAGGTGGGTAAGGGAGGAGGGAATTTTAATTCGCATGAGTTGCATTTTTTGGGGGATGGGGATGATGGAGATGATGATGGGACGAAAGTGGTAGTAATGCACGAAACCCATCGCACAGTCCCCTCCGAAGAAATTCGCGGATTATCATCTTCTTCGATGAACGAAACGACGAGTCCATGCAAAGTCCAATGGGACGGCTTCCGCGTCCTCAACACCCTAACGTGGGAAACAATTTTCGAATGGAATTCCTACAACCACGTCAAATTGACAGAAAGCACATTCCTCGACGGCGGAATCGAATCCCTCTGCTCCAACCCCTGGCCATGGGATGCCATGCACATGAACGCCGTGGACATGAATCCTCACGGAGACTATTATCTCTCGGCACGACACACGGATACGATTTATAAAATTTCGGGAAGAGATGGACGTGTGATTTGGAGACTTAATGGGCGAGATAGTTTGTGGAATGATTTTGTTATGGGAGAGGATTTTACGACGGGGGGAAGTTTGAGGTTCTCGAGGCAACATCATGTCAGATGGCGTGGGGAGAATGGGACGCATGAGTTTATTTCGATTTTGGATAATGCGAAAGGGACGGATATGCAGCCTGCTACGGGTGAGAATTCGAGGGCGATTGTTCTTGCTCTGCATACGGCTGGGGAAAATAGCTCTTCTTCTTCTTCCTCCTCCAAGATGACAGCATCCCTCATCTCCTCCATCAACCACCCCAACGGCAAAGGCTCCTACGCGCCCCGAAGAGGCAACTACCAATTCCTCGGAACCCAACAACTTTCCAACAACTCCTCCTCCTCCTCCTCCTCCTCCTCCTCCTCAAATTCCTGGATCAGTTGGTCCGAAGAAGCCCTCCACACCGAACATTTCCCCAACGGCAGCATCGCATTACAAGCAAGCCTCCACGCCAATTGGTTGGGAACCTATCGCAGTTATAAATTCCCTTGGAGAGGAATCCCAAAGGAAAAACCTGTTGTGCATTCTGTGGGGTATTTGGGAGGAGGAGGGAAGAAAAAAAAGGAGAGAAATGGTCATCATTATCATCATCATTACCACAACGACAACAACTCTTCTTCCTCTTCTCCATCCTCTACAAATACCACCACCAGTACAAGTACAACAACAACAACAACAACAATAATCCACGTCTCCCAAAACGGCGCCACAGAAATTTCGCATTGGAAACTCTACAAAACCATCCCATCAGGCAATTTTCGACTGTTCCTCTGTGAGCGACCTCGTCAAGGCTTTGAGACGCAATTGGCTTGGAAAGGGTTTGCTTCGTATGTGATTGTGGAAGCGGTGGATTTCGAGGGAAAGGTTTTGGCGACTTCGGAGGTGGTGGAGACGAAGAAGTTGATAGGTAAAGATGATGGGGATGGGGATGGGGATGATGATGAGATGGATGAGGAGGGGTTGGTGATGAGTGGGGAGGTGGCGGAGGAGGTTTGGTGGGTGCAGGAGAAGGAGAGGGAGGAGAGGGAGGGGGAGGAGGAGAGAAGAAAGGGGGAAGAGGAAAAGTCGCTTGGCAAGGGGGAAAGAAATGAGGGGAGTGGTTGGTGGTGGTGGTTGAGTGGCGCACTTTCGATGGTTTCCGACGAGGCTGATTCTACTTCTACGAAGCAGCAGGAGCAGCAGCAACTCCAACTTCTAGCAGCAGGGAGAAGAGATTGTGTGTTTGCTTTCGCAGGAGGGATTCTCGTTGCGGCGATGCTGGTTTGCGTGTTTGGTGTGATCCGGCTGAGGAGAGGTCGACAGCGACAGGTGCAGTTTTATCAGGCGTTAGGGAAAGATGAAGATGAAGATGAAGAGTGAATGCGCACTTCCCCTCTTCCATCTCATCGTGAGTCTTTCTTCACATGACGAACGACGACAGCAATAGTACACCGTCGTTCTTCTTCCACATCATATTAGTAGATACTACCATCCTCCTCACCCCTTCAAAGAAGAATTCAAATCCTCTCCCTTCTCCATCCTCTCCCTAATCACCTTCGTACACTCAACCAATCGATCCACCGCCTCCAACAATTCCTCCTTCTCCATCCACGCCCAACACAAACGCATACAATACGCAAACCCACCATCCCTCTCCGCCCTCTGCAAACTCCCCTGATCCCCCGCCACAACAAACATGTGTCCAAACGCGATGCGAAGATTAAACTCCTTCAACGCAATCGCAGCGAAAGTTTTGGCAAAGACGCCATGGGTGATGAAGATGGCTGGTAGACGGAGATAGGTGAAAAACCCGCCTGCGAGGCCCGAGTTGTGGCTGGACAGGTCGAGTTCGTAGCCGAGAGGGATGAGGTGTTGGTGGAAAGCGGTCAGGAGGGAGTGGTAGCGTTGTTGGTATTCGGGGACGACGATGTCGCGGATGTGGTTTTGGAGGCTGCCGGTGCGGAGGGTATGTTCGACGATGGTGGAGGCGAAATGGGTGGGGTTGCCGCCGGAGGTGGTAGAGCCTCTGTTTGAGGGTTAAGTATATGTGAACTATATTAGTGATTCATGCTGGTGGAGGTTTTTTTATTGCTTACATGCTTCCCAGTTGAGAGGCAAATTCTGGCTGAGCTTCGACCCAGCCGACTCGAATTCCCGGACCGATGATCTTGGAGAAGGAGCCGTTACTGATGGCGTTTCCGTAGAGGCTGGTGCCAGGAAGTGTTCGATCTACATCGACGAGTCGTGGAGGTAGCGGGTTAGGGGTGCTATTCACACTGGGATCGTGGGGAGACCAGTGTAGAAAGTCATATACATCGTCCGAGACCAGCTACAACAGTGACAGGCTCGAAAGTAAGCAAGCGGCTTTGGGAATATTCTACCTTGTTGGAACTCACTCACCAGAATATCAAACTCTCGAGCAAGCTTGACGAGTTCTTGCCTCACCCACAGGGGCATCGTCTTTGCACTAGGGTTCATAAACGTAGTCGTGCAATATAAAATATACTTGTAAATATGCGGATATTGCGGTCCAGTCTTTGCAAGAGGCTGATCCGGCCAATCCGTCTCGCTCTCGACCTGTGAGAAGAAAGAAGAAAAAAAAAAGATCAGTCAATAAATGAGAAGGAAAAAAAATAAGGCATCCTCAAACACCACCACCTTACCTTACTCAACTCATCCAACAAAAACTCCAAATCCACACAATCCTCCCCCTCCCCTTCCGGAATTCCTCGCAACCTCCCCCGAAACCCCCCATCCTCAAAAATCGGACAAGCCAAAAAATACGTCGGCTCAATCATAAAAATCCTCCGCGTATAACTCGGATCCGCAAATTTGAGCACCACGCTACTCAGAGCTGCTGAAGCGCCATTCGTGACACAAATTCGAGATGCGTCAATACCAGAAGAAGAAGCCGCCGCCGACGCTGCTGCTGTTGTTGTTGTTGTTGCATCTCGAGGATGAGGCGATATTTGGGAAGAATAAATCTCATCCATAAGCCACTGCGCAATGGATTCTCTCAAGGGAGCATATCCCATGCCGGGGCCATAGAGGAGAATTTCGGACATGTCTTGTGTGGGAGCGAGAACTTTTTGGGCGCTGTGGAAGAGGGGTTGGCGGGCACAGAGGCGCGTGGAGGGCCAGCCTCGTTGGAAATTTAAGTGTTGGGGAGGGGATTTCTTGGACATGGTGGTGGTGGTGATGGTGGTGAATGGTTTGGTGTTGTTGTTGTTGTTGTCCGTTGTTGAACCAGGAGGTAGGGTACATACCTTAGGTAGTTCACTACATTACGCACTTCGCGAGACTTGGCTACCTACCTACTGCCACGTGCTTAGGCGAGCTATGCTTGCTTGCCCGTACCCGATATCTTTATACCTGAACTTTTCCTCCCAAAAACTATCAAAGCTATTATCATTTATTATATCTACTTGTACCTAAAATCGTTTTCAAATTATAACGACGAGCTGTGTCTTTCTTGTCATCTACTAGACTTATATCTCTATCGTGCGATGCCAAAGCTCCCGGGAATAAAATGGTGATAGGCAGACATACTTGTTAGGTCTATTTATTCCCTGCTATATTCACCTACGTTGGCCGATAGCGATATTATGCGGAAGAGGGGACTTGAAAGATGCGTTGTTTTTTATATCATGACAGAGTAGAGATAATTACTGATATCGTAGAGTGCAAAAGAATGCTTCTATCTACTACGAGATCCTTTCCACTGCACCACATCACAGTGCAATATTAGATTCCGCGAAAAGCTGATCAAAGCCATAATCCGCGCCCCCACTATCTCCGTATAATAACAACACATTCTCCCAATCGGTCGTCGGCATGGTACTGCTGTTGTTACTACTACTACTAGTATCACCGAGGAGCTGATTTGAACCATGCGGAACAACTACCACTGGTGGTGTTATCGGTGCTGATGTAGAATTTCTCGTGTACTCCTCGAATGCTTGTGTATCTGGCTGTAACGTCGTATGGAGGGCAGATTGCGAAACGAGAAATGAAGTATAGTTCGTAAACCAGTCTTTCATAGCAGGTCCCGTCTGCATGATGCGAGAAGGCCCACAGCGTTCATCTACGAGTTTCACTCGGGCGCCAGTGGTAGTTAGCATGTCCGCGTACACGGGCAAGGCTACAATCGAGCTGTCGATGACGGAGCCGAGAGTGTTGCCAGGCATCGTCACGGCGATGTGCAGCTTTGCGAGGATGTAGAGCGAGTATGCAGCCCGCGTGGCATATACCTAGATTTCGAGGAGTGGAAAGGTAAGTAAGGTACATAGGTGTGAACAAGAGGATTTACCTTGAAACCTGCAATCTTGTAACTTACTAAACTTGGCGACGCAATCAGGGTCAAAGTGTCCAAACTCGTGTAAAGTGACAACACTGCTTGAACAGCAGCCGTCAGCTCGTAGACGGCCGTAATATGGTCTTGCGTGATAACCGGGATCGGAAAGTCAGACAAGGACAGTCGTTCTGCCATATAAGGCGCAGAGAAGCTTTCCTTGTTCGTCGACGTGTGTAAAACCGTCTCATGCATGTATGCTGTCGCAACGTGCTCCCAGAACAGCAGCAATGGCGATCGGAGATCCTGTGGAATTGCCATTTTCCAGTTCAAAATCTTGTTTCTGCAAGTCTGCACTCTATTTCTCGTTGCAGGCTCAGAGACATCGTGGCAATACGATAAGTTGCTGAATTCCATCTGCTCAGCCACCTCTTCGCAAAGTCGTTCGGCTCGGATGTACTGCGCGAGCCATCGATCGGATGACTCGTTGACTGGCGAGTATTGCAGCATCAGACGAGCTTGTTCATGTTGCTCCGTCCATACCACTGTGATTGGCTTCCTCATGAGAATCGACATTGATGCAGAGAGGATGTGACAGCCTAGCCATGCCCGCCAACTCTCGACTGCTTCGCACGATTCGGCGTCGAGGCTCAGCCCTTTGCCAAGAGGAGCAAGTGGCCCAGTCCCGTTCAGGTCATTGGCAAGACCAGAAGCAAGATCAATGAGCTGATAGACCGCAGCACGTCTGTGATGTTTTGGCGATCTATACCACAGACATGAGATCTGGATCGCTTGTACCAGCTCGAGCGCCTCCTCGCCGGGTGCTACAGCCCTTGAGGAAAGGCCATCCAAAAGTAGCTGGGCAATGTGCTCTTGTTCGTCCAGGGATAGAAAACCAGGACTGGCGGCGTACAGGCAGGCCAATAGCAGTATTCTTTTGTTAGCTCTCAAGCTTTGTAATGTATTATCCACTGGGAGTAGGACTACAGGGAAGAGGGGCACGATTTCGGCCTCGTAGCGAAATATTGTACGCTCCTGGAGTTCATATGAGAGCACTCGATCCAGTTTTTGGATATCTGACATGTCTGCGTCACTTGGCTCGGGGAAAGCGATGCTGGCCGCATCTTGACGCTCCTCCAACCTTCGCTTCTTGGCCGCTGTCTGCGAAGAGGGAGCTGTTGCAACAGCATCACCGGAAGCATCGCTCCTCGATGGCTCAGCTGATATTTGGATTCGTTGACTCTCGAGGAGTCGGGTCAGCGTAGCGACTTGTGCTTCAAGCTCAGCCACACGATCCTTCTGACGCTTTGGCAGCGTCAACACGCATTCCTTATTGAGTCTTACGCATCTTTCACAAGGTGGCACCGCTTTTTCGGATGCTTGCCCCAGGGAACACCTTTGATGTGAGTCAGTCACATTAGCCATCAACAGACACTCCATTTCAGTATATCGAAGCCTGTTACCTGATCTTGATCTTCGAGCAGGCCTCGCACGCTCTCCCTCTTTTTTGTGGTGCCGATGGTATGGCATCGTGGGCATCCCCTGGGGCAGAATTGGACTCCATATGATGTCCTGGTCTGAACAGGCTGTATTGAGCATGCAGGATTGGATGGTGTGGAAGTCAGAATGCGCTTCTATGGCATCAACGAGTGATCAACTTCCCAGCCAATCACATGATACATGTATCTGCAGACTATGAACATCCTTATATAGAGAGAACGACAGGAACGACAGCCGGGAGGGAGCAAAGTCGCAGAAAAGCGAGTAATGTTAAGTAAATATAGTTTCAATACCGGAATAGGTTATACAGTTCTTTTGAAGGTCCGTAGGATCAGACTTCGTCTCACGGGTTACCGTATGTTTGAAAGTCACGTGTCAACGCTGAGTAATCAAGCAGAGAGTCGATGAAGAGTCGAAGACAGTGAAGATATCAACCGCAATTGGACCAACAAGGAAATGCCTACCCACACGTACTAGCATACTCCGATCTGGTTGGCGGCCGGCGCCAGTCCTTCGCTGTACTGGCGAAACCTCGACAGAAACTTTCCTCTGGCCGAAATCCGTCTGCCACCCTCGCATCATGGCGCAATCCTTTCCCGTGAGTACCTTATATCTCGTCCGACGCTCGAGGAAAGTTACACCTCTTCCCAGTGCCATTATCTCCATCATCCTGCATCCGCATAATCAAGCTCGAGCTGCATTTGAGACTGATCCTTGGGGCTCCGGATGGCCCAGGGAGCTGATATCCTCCAAGATCTCGGTTGCGCTGGTGTATGTCGAGTTCCAGCAACGCCAGATGATCTTCTCCACGCCACCGGCATGCATATCGACTGGAAACTCCCCCCTGCTATATTTGCCCTCTATTTCAACTTCATCGCGAACAGCATCTAGCTCTGGGTATGGCGGATGACCATACCAGACATGGTATAACAACGTTCCAAATGCAAATATGTCCATTTGAGTTGACAAGTCGTCATCTGGTCCCGGCCCTGGAAGACGCGACCTGGCGTTGTTCTCGGCAGTCGCTGGAATCTTGACATTCCCGTCAGAATCATTGAGCTGTCCTTGAAGATCGCCAATCTTTGCTGTCCAGTCAGATGTTACGAATACATTTTGAGTATTGAGATCGCCGTGGATATAGTTTCGACTGTGAAGATAGACAAGCCCTCGAGCGACCTGCTCTCCAATAGCTATCTTCTGGCCTTCGTTCAGGTCGCCGACCACATCACACAGAGCTCCTTTCTCGCAGTACTCTAGAACGAGTCCGTCATCGCTCATATCTTTGAACGTAACTAAATTCTCATGTCGGCCAAGGTAACGGTAGCGGTAGGCCTCCTCTTGCAGGGCATTCATCGACTCCCGGTCATTAGGGTAATATGGATACTTGAGCACAGAACATCCATCTTCCATGAGGCCAATGAAACTTGAGGTGAACGCGAGCATATCTCGGACGCCCTGAGGTCTCCAGTCTACGATAACCGTGGCGCGGCCCGCTCGCGAGGCTTCTATGGCGTTCATCGCACCAATGTAGCGGGAAAGAATGCTCAACTGGAGATATACTTGACTGATGTAAGTGCCAGGTACGCGCGGGTACATCCCAGCTCTTAGTATATGCCACTAGCGTCGGCTACTTACTGTGCCTCAGCTCGCCAGGCTCTAGGAACGCCCACACCGCTCATTCCGGCAAGATGCAGCTCACCAGGTCAGGGAGAGCGGCTCAAGAAGTCCCTTAGGACGCAGTGGCAAAGACGTTGAGCGGAGACTATCCGAGTTGGTGATAGAAGCGAGATTCAGCATGTCAGGAATTGGCATGAATTGGACCTTCACCTCCCTGTACAAATGTTCGGAAGGGTCTGATATAGCTCTAAGCGCCGGGCTTAGACGCGGGGCCGAGCCGAGCCTCCCGAGCGACGCCCTTGCTGCGACCTCCTACCTCCTAGGAGGTAGGAGGTAACTCCACAAGGCCATCGCGAATCTTCTTTTAGCTATCCAGCTTCATGTATTGCCTCCGGCTGTGAGCCAGTGCATCAGCCACATGGGCCCTCTACTGCCATGGATTACTCGCCAAAACAATAATCCTGTCATCAAGACCTTCTTTGATGCAGAAGGCAACTGGATTGCAGAGCCGCCGATCCCAGAGGCATCACTGCAGGATTTTGTGACTCCAATTATCTGCCATGAGTGGCTAGCAGGACCAGAACCTGACAGCGCGAATGAACAATAAGAGCCCCGGCATCGCATCGTTCTTGCAATAGCAGGACCCACAAGACAGGTTGCATACCTCTCATGTTGTGCATACGGCATCTCCATACTCAGTACTACATGACCCAGCTTTGTTTGATGTAAAAGAAGGTGGTAGCGGCCGCTGGGCTGACTTGGAATGTCGACCGTAAAGCTGACGCTGACCAGAAACCTACTCGCGAAGGTTGACATAAATCGGAAAGGTTTACAAGACTTATGTCTCTCGAAAGAGAGTTGGCTCTGAAATTATGACCGAGTATTCCCGCTGCAGAAGAAGTGAAGAGAAACAATCGCAGCACGGCTGTCCCGGCACACAATGCGTCTCTCGACAAAGGGACAGACGTTACTCAACAAATCCCTCTAGCTACATCCTAGCGCTTAGTATGTGCCACTAGCAGCACTTCGGCTAGCAGCACTCTCTGTGCCTCACCTCGCCATACCATTTCCAACGCTTGGTTGTCCAGATCTTCGAATGTACACGGGATCCAACTTCGTCTCCTAATCTGTCAGAACTCACTGTTTTTGGGCTAAGCCAGACTGCTTAGACCGCTTTGTATAATGTACCTTTCTCATATACATATCGAACGGCCCTCTCATTACGGCCACATTTCTGCAACATACTGATGACCTACGTCAGTAATACGTGTGTTCTCTGTGCCCCCGAGGTCCTTATCGGAAGTTCATCAAGCCCGCCCGTAATCCACTATAGATTGACCGTGCCGCGTCGGATCATTATCGGCATGTCAATACCGTGTGATGCTGCGCATAATCGCCTCGGTTGGCCCATAGCTGCCTAGAGCTTCCTGGCGCTAAGGAGCCACGACTGTACGGGCGGCACAGTACTGTGCCTCGCTCTGCCTTGTGACGGTCAACACAGCTGCACAGGTCGGCGCTGTCGCTAGCGACAGATCCTCGTTTGATCCTTTTGATATCAGCTAGGCGGCAGGAGAGATATTACTGGCTAATGCCTTGAACATCAGCCAGGCCGCCAGGTCGCTGATGCCTGGAAAAGTGGAAGGTCGCAATGGTATAAAAGCTGTGAGAACCGTCAAAGACTGAAAACTATTACCTCTCGCACCATCCAAGATCACCAGACCGATATCACTGCTGACAAGTCTCCGTGCATCGTCAGTTCTCAAAGAGACCCCATCAAGGTACGTGCAGCACAAAGCACTGTCTTGAGTGTCTTTTCGAAGCTTACCTTGTATCGGACAGTACCACCTACCAGGACAATATGTCGTCTAGCAACACAGGGACCAACTCGGGGTCTGGCAGCAGCAGCGGCGGCGGCAACAACAGCGGCAATAACAGCGGCAATAACGGCGGGAATGGCCATGCAGGGGCAGGCAGCCAGAACGGGGGTGGATCGTCCAGTGCTGGCTCCAGTAACGCCAACACTGCCAATTCCAGCCAGAGACGCATGTCGGATAGAACGATGAAGCAGCTCATCAGCTCAGGAGAAAATTGCCAAAGAGTCAGGGGCATGATCCCAAAATGATTGGGAAGCATCTGGCTCAGTCAATAGGAGGTAGAAGCGAGATTCAGCATGCCAGAAATTTGCTACCTCGCCGATAGGCTACGAGGTAGGAGGTACATGTAGGTACATGTAGGAGGTACATGTACGTAGCATGAATTGGGGCTAGCAAGCTAGGTGGTATAACTCCGGCGCGGACGGCTAGGGCCGGGCCGGGCTGGACCGAGCCAATTTAACATTCAACACTGTCTCTGCGACTTTCAAACCATTTCCCCCAACAAGACCCATTACGAATCCCCAATTCATTTCCATTGCAATAGTTTCAAAATCTTCAAAATGACCGATGTCGTTATACAGACCCGCAAAGGGCCCCTCACAGAAGCACAAGCACTCCAAAGTGATATGGACATGATCCCTGCGCTATGTCAATTGGATCCCTTGTTCGACTTCCGTGAGCATCTCGATTCACGTCGCGCACAGATTGAGCGCCTTGTTTCCCGCCATTTGGGCATCCCGAAAAATCACGTTGTCCTCGGTGTCGAACGGGAATGGATATCTGGCAGCTTCAATATTTGTCTCCCAGTGCACATCGATAACAGCAGAAAGCCCAGTCTTCCCCGAAAAGCAATGGTTCGATTCCCTCTTCTGTTCAATATTGGCGAGTCCTTCTCGCCAGGGAGTGCCGACGAAAAACTGCGCTGCGAAGCCGCCACATACATCTGGCTTCGAGAAAACTGTCCTGATGTTCCCATACCTCGCCTGCTTGCCATGGGCTTTCCAGGAGCACAATCGGTACCGTTCACACTATGACCATGCTGAATACTTTTTCGATCGCTAACGATCATAAAAGTTCACAGCCGTGGAGAACGAATCGACATTGAACCGAATACGTTGGCTACTGCGGCGCGGCGTATCATGGTGGCGTGGCGAAATGCTCGCTCCGTTCTTTGCTCACCGCCGCGATCAACTTGCAGATCTTGGGTACTTACTAATCGAATACGTTCAAGATGGAGAGATGCTATGGCGGAGTTGGCAGGACCACCGCCATGATGAACACCGCCGAAGTAATCTCTATCGAAGTCTTGCTAAAATCATGCTCGATCTCGCCCAGGTACCACAACCTCGAATTGGTTCCTGGACAATGAATGATAATGGCGTGCTTTCGCTCACAAACCGTCCGCTCTCGGATCTGACCTTCTTCTGGAACAGACACCAGGTCCCGACGGGCATACCACGGGTACGTGACTTTGCAGCAGGGTCTATCGCAGTCGCGCAGGCTCCTTGTTGCGGAGCGCTCCTCGCTTTCATGCCAAGATGAGATCGGTCACAACACGCAGGCGGAAATCACGGCTAACGTGCTCATGTGTTAGGATCTCACGTATACCTCTACCGAGCCATACGTTCATGATAGGCTTGCGTACCAAGATCTTCGTATGCGCCACCAGCCTAATGCCATTCTCAGTGAAGCGGACGGCCTCTATCAACTATCTGCCTTGTCAGCTTTACGCATTATGCTTCCACGATTCTGGGACCAGAATTCGCGAAATGGCCCTTTCGTGTTCTCCTTCAACGACCTTCACCAGAGTAACATCTTTGTCGATGAAGATTGGAATGTTACCAGCATCATTGACCTCGAGTTTGCCTGTGTGCAGCCGATACAGATGACATGTATTCCAACCTGGCTCAATGGCCGCGGTGTCGATGAACAGGAGGGTCCCGATCTGGAAGATTACTCACAGCTCTATCACCACTTCGTCGCGATTCTCGAAGCCGAGGAGAAATCTCGCCGTCTGTCACACACGTACAGTCATCAACTGCGAGAGGATTGGAAGACCGGCAGGTTGTGGTATATCAAGGCATTGGACAGCTTGAATGGCTTTCCTGCTATCGTCGAACAGCACTTGCGCCCCAAATTTTTCGAAAAGTTCGATTGGAAGATCGATGGACTGGCACTGGCACGACTGTGGGATGAAAATGTGCTGGATTTTATTAACAAAAAAATCGAGGATCGTGACCAGTATGAAGTGCGAATCAAGGAAATGTTCGCCAAAGCTGGAAGAGCTCAACAGGTTGAAGGCTAAGTTTTGGTGGGTCCCCTTGGCCGCCAAATTGGAGAGTACCGACAACCGCAATGGAAACCACCACAACCATCCCAATCCGCTGTCAGAAGGAAGCAATTTCATTGTAGGATCCGGATATCCTCGTTGATCTCCGAATACCCACCTACCCCAAAAAATTGCATCCGATACAATCGCCACCACTCACATATAACACTCCCCTCGTACACCACGCAGACCTTCAAAACCTTGCCTTACCTACCTCATCATCCCAGCCCAGCCCGACCACCGGCCAAAAGAACAGGAGGGCAACGAAACGAAACGAGCGACAGACCATCTCGCAGCTCCCACCAAAAGAGAAACAGAAAACCTGTTCAAAATGAAACAAAAAAATCTCAATTACCTTATATTTCTCAAATCATGCATCGCGGGCTTGTGTGAGCAGCAGCACCTGCGTGGCTACCTTACCTTACCCACCTATTCTTCACTAGGGTACCTAGGTACCTGAACTTACCGTACCTACTTGGTTGGGCACGCCCGAGTTCGAAGCATGAAGCATGCATGCATGCATGATGGGATCGATTCATCGCGAATCTGGCTGGGCTTTCAAGTTTTCAGAACTACCTAGCAGGACCTATGTACCCAGCGCGACTCTGGGCGCTGACGACTCAAGAGGCCGAAGGAAGAAGCCCCAATTGACGCAAATCAGCCGTCACAGGAGTCCGAGTACTGTAAGGTGCTTTGCGAAATATAACCTAATCACGAGCAGTATCAGGATCAGGATCAGAAAAGAGAGAGAGAGAGAGAGAGAGAGAGAGAGAGAGAGAGAGAGAGAGAGAGAGAGAGAGAGAGAGAGAGAGAGAGAGAGAGAGAGAGAGAGAGAGAGAGAGAGAGAG